CCTGCTTTTTCCCCCCCCCCCTCCCCCCCGCGCCCCCCCCCCCCCCCCCCCCCCCATCCCTTCCTCCCTCCCGTTAACAGTCTTGTTGATAGCTTGGCAGCTGTTCAAATCAGACAGGGGGTATCCGTACACCACGAAAACCCTAACAACGAGGAATGTGTGGCAGCAAACACGAAACCACTAAAGCTCTGCTGAGTAAGGAGTTGATCCCTCACCCACTGGTATTTGATGAAGTCCAGGAATCATAATGCCTATTTGTTTGTAAAATAATGAATGTCAACAGTTGCATTTTAGTGTCCGATCTGAGATGATCCAGATGTGTAACATCAACGAGACACATCAGCAAGACACTCATTAAAAAAAATATGCAGTTTTCATCGCCGTCATTAAAGTGAGACAATGTGGCTTTTTGCAGAACAGCAGCCTCTGTGGTTCAAAGCGGTAGTTACAGGACAACGGCGCATTGTGAGTGTAGCTTCCCCTCCGTGTTACTTTTCTGTGGTTTGTTAAAACGTAGTGCAACAAGAGCACAAGTCGAGGACAATCATAACTGACTCACTCAGGTCAGGTTTGCTAACATTAGCCGCCATAAGCTACTAATCACGTCAGACCATCGAAGGATGTAGCAGCTAAGAGTATCGAGTTGGACATTTGTGTGTTTTATTGAATGAACTCAACTTTTAATTTGTAGGAAAAGTGTTTGTTCCTTCTTTTAAAAGGTACACTGTGTCACTTTAAAGTTCTGAAAATAGCTCAACAGAGTCTGGATCAGAGCACACAGGGAGGAAGAGGGATATGTCAGTGCAGTTGGAGCCAGGTCCCCTGGAGAGCCAGCCATTTTTAGTAAAGGTACCAGGGGGCCTTGCTGGGAAACTTAATAAAAAATGTAAAAATGGACTGCTTCATCGGCCGTGTTCAAAGCCTGTGTATTACATGAGAACATCACAGCGAAATGAGACCCAGAAGCCTCAGCCTTGGCGTAACGATACTATATTGCAGTGAAAACTTTATTTTTTTTTCTCCTTGCCTTTATATGCTCTGAAGGCTTTTCTATATTTTTTGGCTTCCCAGAAGTAATCACTTTCAATTGTATGTCAACACCACAGCATTCTCCAAGAATGCAGTATCTGGTACACAAATGAGTTCCACATGGGGCCCAGCGATATCTTGCTTACCCCTCACGCGTAAAACGTCCCGACACGGAGAAAAACATTTACGGATCCTAAAATACTGTCTTTGTCCCAGCACCTTTTGACCAGAGTGTTAATACGCGTATTTGTGACCAGTTGGAACTATTTTAGACTTATATATTAATGAATCATCACGTCTGCATTGAGGGATTTCTGTGCACTAAAAATGGTTCCATAGTTAAAGACAGAGCTCTGAACCTTCGCTCATCTTACATCCAAATAATTACATTTAGAAAATGTATCATTTTAAACAAAACTCGTTGGATTTAAAGATCATTTCCCCGTGCACGAGTAGGACCGCAGCTGTCCGAGAACACCATGAAGACAGAGTGCCTCCGTTTAATGAATGCTTCCTGTAGTAATGGAAATAAATGCTCTCGTGTCGAAGGAAAGCATAGCATTTCATGCAGATGGATGTGCATCTGGCCTGCTTGTATTTTCCTAAGCTGTGATACTGTGTGTTTCTGTAGAGAGCAGCAGGCCTGCATCACAGTAAATGTCTCCCCTTGTCAGTGGTGGCAGACAGCAAACAGCTGACAGCCATCATCGAACGCCACAGAGCTGTTGCTGTGTGTCTAATGATGTCGGACATCAGTGCTTTTGCAGTTTTTACATCTTCTTAATCTCTGCTGAGCAAGAGGCTGCCATGGATGTACTTTTTAAATGATGCATCTCTGTAGAAGGGCAATGTGTATTTTCAGAATAATTTACAGCAGCAACACATCTGACTGGAGACCAAACTGAGGTATTGGCCTTCTCTGTTGGCCCTTCAGTGGGACACTTGTCTGACGTTCATGATGATTTTAAAGTGGGGCGCGGACAGATAAAGGGGATCTTAACAGTCAAGCAGGAGGCCTCTGCAGTCTGACACAAAGCCAGATGAATTAGCTGTTATGTAATTTGCGTTTGAGTGACCGCACCGAGCCCTCTGGCGGCACTTGCTGTCGGTATCTCATCGACCAGCCTGACTGCACATGGCCGTGACCCGGAGGAGTCCCGGGTTCTCAGGAGAACAATCACCGAGCCCAAAAGTGGCGTCATCGCATCATATTTTGCGGGAGGCTCTGTAAGTTGTCGTGGCGCTTGGTCGTGCACCTCCGATTTTCTGTAGCTAGGCACGCGCTGTGTGTGCGCGGGCTTTTCATTGACCACTGACACATATACTGATAAAAGCAAATTACCTAAAATCTAAAATAATATAATGAATTAATTTATGCTAAGAAAGACACACTATGTATTTTTAATGCTCTAAAAACTATAGATTTTAGAAACCTACAGTTGAGTAAATATTCTGCAGCTTGATAAAGTTGATTTCAGGATATTCAACCTATCAACCTTTGTTTAATTATAATGCATTTGTTGTTTCATATATTTGACTCCTTTCTTTACGGGAATTGTATAAAGGCGACAAAGTATGTCCATGAATATTTTTTACATTAAATATATATAATAATATATATAACAATATATTAAATACGAGTTAAATATTTAGTTGGTACACCCCCTGGTGTTTCGCAGAAATGCTGCAACAAATGTTACGTTGCTCGTAGCGAGTATAAACAAGATTTGATCCCCTCTTATTGACTGTTGCTACGCCTGTCAAGCTGCCTCTTTCATATGCAGTTTCCACAAATTCACAGTAAATTTTGAAACAAGGGTTCCTTGGTTTCAAAAAGATTTAGACAAAAGCCGGCGACTGTTGAAATGGCAATTTAGCTAATTAGTTAGCTTATTGAGCTAGCATTAGCTCCATGGATTAGTCAAACACCATATCTGGATGATGCAATATTTTTTTGTTTATAAAATGAGAACCATGTGAAAAAGGTTTTAAATATGTACTTGATGGCCACATGCATGATGTCCCAGACAGCAGTCAACATCCTTCCCAGAGTGATGATCAATGCAGTGAATGGTGTTATCGGTAAACACATGGTGCAATCTATTCCTGACACTTATGTTCTTGTAACCACCCTCCACATTATTTAAATGGTGAGTCTCTATGCCCTCTGCACACTGCTCCAACATGTGGTGAAATCTAAAGCACCTGGTTACGGTTGCTCCTTTTGGAGGAAGGTTTCAGCAAAAAAAGTCAGGTGATTAAATGAAAAACTATGTATGCACCACGACCACACATGCAAAAAAATCTCACTGCATTAGTGGCCTTGCCAGTTGCCACTTATTTCCCTTAACCTTCTCAGGTGGAGAAGTCGCTGTGGTGAGAGAGGAGCTGGTTTTGAGCTTAACACTTAAGAACAGAAACCCACAGCCAGACCTCCCTCGCTCTGCCTTTCCATTGGAGAGGCTGTTTCCCGGGGCTAATTGGACTCTGATTCGGGCCTGCCAGTCCTAGTTTCCTGGTCCCAGGGCTCTGGGCTCCCTGGACACAGATGGGCTGCCTGGAAAAGCTTCAGAAACGCTGAGTGCACTGTTGCTGTTGGCCACCGGACCCCTCCGCCTTTTAAAATGCCAGAATCCAGACTTTTGTTGTAAAACATGTTCCGCGCAGTACTCCGCGTCAATCAACAGCAGGCAGGAATCATCGTTGTTTCAGAAGTCGCATGGAATATGAACATTGACATCATGCCAAATTTGATTTTTACCAAGGGACACTCGGGCTCCAAGTGACACACATGTGCAGAGCGAGCTGTGTTGACTTTGTGGCCAAGTGCATATATTTATTTTTTGATGGTTAGGGAAGGAGGGCTGTGTAGCATCAGTGCTTGAAAGACTTGATCTGGATCAAATGTTTTGTGACGCTGGATGGAACAAGACTGTAAAGCTTTGCTGTTGGCTCGCGTTGCCTATTGTTTGTTTGCCAAGCTTTGCTTTTTTACGCTCCCGTGTTTCTCTCGTTGGTTCAGTGCTCGTAGTACGAGCTTGTTCGCCCTCTCACAAGAGCTCTCTCCGTTAATGGAAACCTCGGGTAGCCGCTATTGGTTTTTAATTGGAGACAGGAATGGGTAGAAGATCGCTCCCGAGTGGTGCTGAGACATATGCTGTTGTTTTCCCCACTAAAGAGCCCGCCAGTTCACACGAACACGCGCACGTTTTGCAGCGCGATCAGCATCTCATCAAGAAGAGACGAGATCCAATCAGCCACGAAAGCATTTATCACATTAATACCAACGGAGAGTTTATGCACCATCGTGAGTTTATGTATCATCTGTCAACCCCCTTTCTGCACTTTCCATCTCCCTTCCTCTGTTTGCAACACCTCCTAATTTCTAAACAGCCTTTTGCGATTTCCCAGGCTCAGGGTGTTGCTCAGTGGAGGATTACAGCTGCATGATAATTGATCTCAAACATTTGGCATGGCTTCTCCTTTTTGATTGCTCATATGGCCATAATATGTTGACGCTTATAGGCAGAAAGGGGGGCAAATATACTGTTTAATGTTATCTTAGAATGTAAAAGACATTGGAATAGTGCTTTAAACAGATATAATACTGAACTAATAGTGGTTGAAGTAAAATTCCTGCCTTTTGAATACATTTACAAACATAAGTTACATGAGTTTCTGTCATTACGAACATGAAAGCAAGAGTCTCAGTCCCCCGTGGTATGTAACCAACTTCTCCTCTACATTCTTTGTTTGCGCTCAGCTGTCTGCCAAGTTTCAGGAATTCCTCTTAAGTCGAGGTTACATCCAGTTTTCATGTATTTCCTAACTTCAGAACACATTACAAGGTCTTCACAAGATGAGCGTTGTGCTTTAGTTGGCCGTGGGCTGCTGCTTGCAGCTCAGAAGAACTCGGCTCTTGGACCTTTTTGGCTTAACGTGTGTACGTCAGTATGCGGTAGTATATTTATATTTATAGTATTTATTCCACTTAAGCCCATGAAAGAAATTGTTCTATCCTTTCCAGCACTTTAAGGGCTCAATTTTTGTGAAGTTGAGCACAAACACAAGTGGGCGTGACCAGCACATTTTTTTGCAATTTTGGTTCCCACGGGCGTTGGTGCAAATTAGGAGCAGCCAGCTGGAAGCAGGATGAATACATTATTAGAAGAAGGAATATAGAATGAGTGGTCTGAGTCGGGGCAAGTTTCAGTAAAGACCAATCACCACATACTGTATATAACAAATGGACGTAGTTCCAGTGATGTTGGTTTGTGCGCTGCCGTTCTGAGGCTGTGCACAGAGACATTTTCTTTTGCAACTAGAAGGGACACGAGATCTGACAGGAGCTAAGTACAACCGTACGCTAATTAAGGTTACAGTTAACTTTCATGAACTGAAAACACTGTGAAAGTCTTAAACATCGGACAACGCCGTTGTAGCGACCTGTCAATCACAAGCTAGCCCCGCCCTAAATGCACAATGTCAGTTAATATTAAATCCCGGTGCGTCATCAGAAGATGTAAATGATTAATGAAGTTGTCCAGGTGTGTGTGGGGTGTGAGTGTTAAAACATGTAGAGTGTTTCCTCTCCTGCAATCTACACTTTCTGTTTATTTATTTTGGAGAAGACCGTGCGTTCCTCTGCCAACTAAAATCGCCCCGCGTCTGCGATAAGGTCGACACGGTTTGAACAGGTTTCAACGCAAACGCAGTTTAGTGCCAAATTGAGCACCAAAATTCCACCACGCCAACTAATCAGCATAACACAGCCTGGTCTGCGCCTCACCTCCCACCTCGGCGCAAACACGATGCTTGTGTTGCCAGGAAACTACCAAACAGGGGCAGACATAAAATAATAGAGTTGCACCAGAGGAAAAAGTTAAAGTATTTTGGGTCTGTAGAGAGAGAGAGAGAGAGAGAGAGAAAAGTGGGTCCCTCACTTCCCTGGTTCAAATTCCTGAGGTTTTCAGTGCTCTGGGAGGCCTGGAGCTAATTTGGCTTTCAGGCTTTCCCCTCTAATTCTTTGCGACTAATTACAGTCGTATTCCTGCAATTAAACTGATAAACTCTGCTGAGCTTGGCAAGGTTAGCGAAGTAACCCCGGCCCCTCCTCCTCAGGGCACCACCTCTTTCGCCATGTTTCTCGCCGTAGTAAATGCACTAAAAATAAAAACCAACATGAGTTCTTCGAAAGAGCCCGTCTCCCCGGTCAGGCAGATGTTGTGCATGAGGGAGATTTGAATGGTTATGTCTGAAAAGCCTCAAAACCCCAAAGGGATATTATTCTATTATCGCTCGAGGCGATTGCGATTTAGGGACAACTTCATAACATCATCGCAAAGAAGTGGTCTTACGTATTCCTCTTGGATCCAGGAGGATTTGGTGTTTTAATTGGGCCTGCCAGCACCGGCTCAGCTCATGCATACAGATAGGATACCCAGGGAGGAAGAAAAACAAGCGTAGAAATGAGGTAGACCATGTAGACCGTTTGCTCGAACTCCTTTTGGTTGTTCGGTAGAGTCTTTCGGCACACGTGAATGTTTATCACTCTGAAATGAAGCGTATTGGCTGAGTTCCGATGAGTGCCAAAGGGGCGGTCCCTCCTCAATACGGCTGAGACAAACGTTCTGTGCCCTCCGTAGTTTTAAGACTTCCCCCTCACTATTTGACCGGTTATGGCCGACCCGTCCCGTCCTGTCTGTCAGTCAGTACGTCCGTCCGCGTCGAATATTTGTGTCTTCTATCCCTGTGGCCATTTTGACGCAGACCTACACCGCGGTACAAACACTGGAAACCAGACACCTTATTGTGTGGCGGAACATGTGTAAAAATACACGGGGCATATTTGTAGAAGCTTTTGAAATAACGGTTTGGGATGCGAGTGTGAAGGATGGCTTCCACCAATGTTTAGAAAGCAGGTTTAAATTTGGAAAAAGCTTTTTTCTTTTTTTTTTTTCAGTCCGCCTGCAGGTTCTTCTTCTTCAGTTGACTTCTATGTGCTTATCCTTCTCAACAGAGAGGTCACCATCGACTGTAATCTTGAAATGTTAAACTGTTAAGTGAAATACGGAATATTTTAGGAAATGAATCAACGGAAATAGATGCTAGATGTCACTTAAGCGCGAATAGAAAACATGCAGTTATCATTTACTATCCCATTGCACAGAGCTGAGATAACACAGGAGCTCCTTTGTCCTCTAACACTTGCGCTTCCCCTTCCTCAAGGTATCTGAGGGCTCAGAGGTCCACTTCCAGCCGGGAAACTTCTCCCTCTCCTGCCAGATCCAGAAGGAGGCCCTTCCCCATGGCAACGAGCACCTCCTCAACTGGGCCCAGAAGAAGTACAGGGCGGTCACCTCTTTCTCTGAGCTCAGGATGACTCAAGACATCTACATCAAAGTCGGAGAAGGTGTGTGTGCGAGATTCCCAAAATTCCCAACATGGCTCTTTGGGCCCCCGAGGCACGCCTCCCCCATTCCCCTTCGGCTCCCATAACTTTACTTAGCTTTTGTGTTTGAACCCCCGGGTGAAGATTTACGTGCACTACTCTGGGAAAATAATTTCCTTCGCTCAACGGGCATTCGGCCTTTTACTGTTTAACAGGATACCCGTGGTAACAGTGAGCTGCTCACAGCCTCAAGAGCTGGTGGAGCCTGAGAATATAAAGAAAGTGCATGGACTATGAGTTTGAGTATTTCTGCTGAACTACATAAAATGTTCAGCATTGCATGCATTTTTAGATACTCCGTATACTGTTTTTATTAGAGGTCAAAACAATTAGTTGATTGATTTAATACATCTGTAACTATTTCGATTTTTTTTTTTTTTTGTTTAATGTATTATCATTATCATTGGACACCTGTCCAGTACAGCCACAGACCTGCTGTCCACTGATACTTGATTCTTTATAGCTACACCACAGGTTTCTGTAATTCATAGTTATTCCTGAAGATGTAAAGCACTGCCTAACTTAAAGGTGCACTGTGGAATTTTCTTGTCAACAAACAAAAGTTATGTTTACGTTTTAATTCCCACAACACATTGTTTGTATCCTTGATGTCTAACAAACATATTGAACACATTTACTTCCTTGTGAGACACAGAATTTTTTAAATATTTATATCCGTGTTTGCTAACTGGCTGTCTTCTACTTGACTTGCTTGCCACTCATCAATAAATATTGTTCCATAACACACCTAGTGGTCAAAAACTCCAAAGGGCATCTTTAACAGAACAGATGACATTATGTTTTCGGGTTGTCTATTCTCGTGAAGGCAATAGCTCAGGAACGTCAAAGGTATTTCCTCCAGAACGTCCACTTGGGCTAATGGTTGAACTGAGTAGAGTTTGCTGGTCAAAGGTCACAAAACATGTTTCTGCCCATAACTCAAGAATTGATATGCCAATTAAGACAAATTCCCACAAATGTCTAATAGGATAAAATGATCAAGTGATGACAATGATGCATAGACATAGATGTAAACTGCTACATGACTGATTAGCGGAGGCATACAACCACGAGGTTGGAATTCTAGTTATGTACGTATGTGAGATAGTGTGAGACAAATAAAGATGCTGCAGTTACAGAAGCTAAATAGGAAGCCAGGATAGTGATTTGAAGTAAAACTGTAAAATAGTCGGGTTGCTATTTAGGACTTTGGAGTGTTAATTGGGTCTCAGACACACCGGCTGATTGGAAATGTCTGTGATTTGTCTCTTTTTCTAAGTGGTGGTCACATGGTTTTCACTAATATAATATGGCTACATAAATACAAACCCAAAAATGTACAAAACCTGCTGGAGGGCATACATAGGTTGACCAAATGTCAGATGGAAAAAAAACCAGCAGAGGTAAGCAGGTAATAGATCATCAGAGGCTTATGATTGATCTCCTCAATCATAAGACTGGACTTTTCTCTCCGCTGGCAGGCCCAAACAGTGAACAGCACGTCCAACTTCGCATTGCATCAGCTCAGGACATCTTGACTTTTAATGAGAATCCTTCACCTCATGGAAATAAAACAAGGCTCATGTCTGGAGAGAAGTAATAGCTCCACCGCTGCCACTGATAAGTTCTCCCTCTGTGTTGTTAGTTGCTGCGGAGCACAGAGCGGTTGCTCAGCCTGCAAGCGTTTGACTTGTGTCATTAGAGGGGCTGCGGTTTGGCAAAAGCCCAGAGTGCCACAGTGTTTACTTCAAGCTAAGAGCCGTAGTTTTCCACTCCTCCGCGTTGTCAGTGGTGTCTCGTGAAGATGGACAGATCCTTCACTCTGCTTCCTAACCAGCGCTCAAGGTCTCACCTTTAGCTCTTTCAAGAGCTAAAGGGTTCCGGAAAGGAAGGTGCCAACTTTCAGTTTACACTTTGTCCGAGGCTCTGTTTGCCAAATAAGGAAGCAGCTGTCTTGTGTTTTTCTCTGAGTGCTGAGAAGGGGTGTAACTTTTTAAAACTTTGTCAGTAGTTAACGAATTTTCAAACAGTCGAGAAAGTGGAGGGAAAAAAAACACTATACTGATATAAAAATGTGTTTATGAATATTATTGTCCTGTTATTGTGGAGGAGTTCTGTTAAAAACATTGCTTACTTTTCCCAGGTAAAAGCCAGAAACTATGTTTCTCTGTTGATAAGTAGACTGTTCGTGCCAACCAGAGCATGGTCGACCTCATCCGGCACAGGGCGGGGCCCACTTGGTGCTGAGACAATGGGACTACCAGCTGCAGGGCTGTGTGGTGAAGGGAGCAGGGAGTTAGTCAGCTGCAACGAATGGGTCAAAGAAAGCAAACATCCACCCTACCGAAGTCTCCGTGAGCAGAGCGAGGGGGGTGGGATGTTCCTTAGCCGACCTCGTGCTCTGACCTTCCGGTCGCGATAGGGGTTAACAAAAAGGCTGTATATCTCCTCATGGGAGATCAAAATAGCCTCGCGGAACCCCCCCACCAGTAACACAAACAATCTCTCCCCTTTCAGATCCGCTGTTTTCTGACACCTGCAAGATTGATACCAAGTTCCTGTCTCTGAACTACCTGGGCAGCTACGTGGAGCCACAGGCATCAAAGGGCTGCGTCCTATCTGGCCCCGACAAAGACCAAGAGGTCCACATCGTTGAGCTCCAAGCCCCCAACTCCAGCAGGTGAGCGGCCAAAGCCAAGAAAACATGTTGTCAGAGTTTATTTTCGAGGTCAAGATGCTCTCACTAAGCTCTGAGGAGTTTGTTTTGGATGGGAACTCACATTAAGGCGGGGGGGATGAGGGGGGGGGTTACTCTTCACTTAACAGTGTTCTTTTTGAGAAGGATATTTCAAAACTGCGTCTCCAAGTCCAGGTTTGCCAGATAATCTCCTCACTCCCCCAGTGGAGTGATTTAGATCTGGGAATGTGTATGTAACTGCGCTGTATCTCACTCCAGCGCTATCTGGTCTGTCGTGCATATGTCTGCATCTTTTTTTTCTGGGAATGCGTCCAGCTTTTTTTAATTAGTTGGCCAGACGCTGGAGGCACGGTAACACCACGTAGACCTCACCGTCCAAAATTCTTTTTTTTTTTTTTCTCCTCTTCTCCTTTCCTGCAGTGCTTTCCAGGTGGACGTCATAGTTGATCTACGACCTCTGGAGGACGATGCCCCGCTGCATCGTGACGTCGTCTTGCTGCTCAAGTGCGCCAAGTCCGTCAACTGGGTCATCAAGGCTCACAGTGTCATCGGAAAGCTGTATGTGGTGGTAAGCGAGCAGCGTGACGACGCACAATAGCTCCTCATTCAGGAACATCTTCCCCACTGAGATTCGATGCACTCTTATCGCACATCACAGTGGCTCACATGTCATGTCGCAGACAGAAATGTCATCGCTTCGCACCGATGACTGAAGAATTTTGTCACACCAGATTATTTTCGTGCGTTGAATCGGCGGCGCCTGGTCCCCGCTGCAGGAGAGGGCGGGGATAACGGGTTGCAGGGGAACTGTGAAATTTCACGGTGGCAGCTCCAGGCATTGTCATCACGTTCAGAGCGAGCAGCGGGGGTGTCACACATGTTTTTTTAGAGCGTAGACTACTGCTGTACTTCAGCTGCTCACCCCGTCAGTCACAACGTGCACTACGAGCTCGCTTTAGGCACCTTCTGAAGCTGCTAGGAGCTCCTCGCCACACACAAAAGACAAACACTGGCTGATTACTGCGATATGTCAGAATGTCCTTTACTGAGAAATATGGTTTTATACTTATCAAAGCTGAGTAGGAGTCCGCAGTTTTGGTATTAAATCTTCATTAGTGCTACCCAAGTCTCCCAGGACCCTTAAGAACTCTAAGAATATGACACCTACGTACACTTTGGAAGAGTAGTTCAACTGTAGATTATGTCGACGGGGAGTTGGCAGTCGTCCAAACACTGTAAATTGCTCGAGGGATGGAATTTTAAACCTTGGCTTCCTACAGCGCATTAAAACTGAAGGAGACCCACTAATGTTGTGCATTAATCAGAATACTTCATTTGTCTGGTGACTTTTGGTATTTCATGGTTTGGATGATGGACTCTCGTTGCCCGTCAGCTTGCTGTTGCTAGGCCTGTACTGATTTCAGTGGAGGTGTGCATGGGGGTCTGTGTTTCCTCACTGTGTAACGCTTACACTCCTACAGGGCTGCCTCAGCCATGACACTGCACTTTTGCCAGGCGCGGCGTGTTTGCACAGCTGCTGGTCACCACTGTACAGTGAGTCAGTCAGGTGGGGTGAGCGTGATGCCAGGTCAAAGCCTGTCGTGCGGCACAAGTTGATTGTAATGCCTCTGGTGGATGGAGGTTCCCAACAGATCTGTGTGTTGTTAACCCCACTTAACACTTTGCCCCCGTGCAACAATAAAGCAGTTTGGATCATGAATGTAGATCAGTTTTTGGCATGGCTTAATGGATGGCATTGTCTGTCCACCACTTTGGGGCTGCGATGTCTCCACTATCAGATGGAGTTATAACTTTGTTCAGACATTCATGGTCCACAGAGGATGAACCCCTCTGACTTTGGTGAGCTGCTGGTTTCCAGCACCAATATGAGGGAGACATTTTTGTTACTAGTGGATGGATTTCCATGAATTTTGATACTAACTTTAGTGATCCATGCACTTTTCTCCTAACACCGTCATCTGAAATTTGCAACACTAATGACATTCCCATCAGCCTCAGAAGTACTTTGTGTGTGGTGCTAATGTTAGAATGCTTCCACGCTAAACTAAGATTGTGTCCATGGTGATTAATCAATTATGAAAAAACCTTTTCAGTTTGCATCAGTGGCATCAGCGGTTATGCACTACATAGACCATAATGCTCATTTAACAAAGGAAGACCGTGTTCATTGTGAAAAAGATGGAGACACAGACTGAAAGTGAATCGCCTAAAACAATGCTAATTTTACTCTGTAGTGTCTATCTACTACATTTCTTTTGGTTTGTTTGTTGCTGCCGCACATTACCATCCATTTAAAACCACAGACGGATGGTCAGTCTGAACACAAAGCCCCGTTTTTGTTCCCAAACAGCTGACATTTAAGACTTTTATTTGACAGCAGAGTCACACGGGACGCTGTGCTTGTGCAACCAGTGTTTGGGAGAGTGACAACAGTTTATGTGATATGACAGCCTCGTAAAAAAGGAGGCCTTTCTTCTGTCAGAGAGCTGCCTCTCCTCAGCGTTGCTCAAGAGACCTGAATGTGTGGGAAATGGGTGTGAGAATGAATCAGTATTCAGTATGTTATGTAGCAGGGCAAGACACGACTTTTAGGAGCCAACTAACACGTTGGTTTCTCAGCATTGATCGAGAGCTGACACGCCCATTACCTCACATCCGTGCACATGATTCACACTTGACGCAGAATGAGAGCAGGACTGTACTTGAAGTTGAATACCTGTGGAGCAGTAAATCATTGTTCCTGAAAATCTTAAAGGAGCTTACGTTAAATCCATGGTCTTTTAGAAATGACAATTTGTTCTTCGATAAGACAAGATAACGCTTTCTTCTCCACAGGCCTCTGATACCGGGAGTGCCAGTTTTAATACGGAGAGGCTGATGCAAGTGTTAAAATCCACCAAGCAGCACTTGCCGTCTGGGCCACAAGCCCTGATCAATTGGGCAAGGGAGCACGGCTACGGTCCAGTCACCTCTTACACCAGCACTCCTGTGGCTAACTACTTCAACATCCGACTCAGAGAGACAGGTAAGCTGAAGAAACATCCTCCGAATTGAATTAATCTGAAGCAGAAATAGGAATAGTGTGTTCAGGTAAATTATAGCCAGACATTTAGCAGCTGCTGCAATTGTTTCATGACCAGCATTGCACATTTTACAGTCCTTATAGAGGAGCTGGCGTGAAATCGTGAGACGGTTTTATAGTCGTGGTCCCGTGTAATTTCCCCGCCTGTAAAATCAGCCTCATGAGGTTCTAACAATGTGTGACTTCCAGATGTGGTGGATCCTCTGGAGAGCATGTTGCCTCCAGAGCTCTCCATCCCACACGACTCCAGTCCCCACCCAAGAGCTGGAGCTGCAGCCCGGCGCCCCGGTCTGCACTTTCCCTTCCCCTTGCCTGCGTCCGACGGCCGGCCCTTCTTTCCTCTGCCCTCCTCCCTCGACAACCGGCACTGGGAGAACACGGAGCCCGAGGAGCATCAGGGCACTCTGAGCGTCGGCCTCAGCGTACAGTGTGAGGACACGAGGATGGTGGTCAGCATCGCTAAAGAAAGCCTGCAAGTGAGTGGGCAGCATGATTTTATCCATCATGCATCCTGCCTAGAAACATATTATAGGGCATTAAGTCTAGTTTTAATTTGATTGTGTCATAATGCAACAAGTATAACACATGTCCAAATATGCACGACCAAAAAACAGAAACTTTTATTCTTTACTATCAAAAGTATTAATTTATTCATTTTAGTAAGAAGATTAGGGCATATGTAGCTCTAACCAGGAAGTTATGTTTTTCTTATTCGAAATAATAATAATAATAATAATCGTATTAAATAAATACTTTTTCTGTCAATCAGCTAATTAATTAAGCAAAAATGTGTTACAGCACAGAAGCAAACAGTCCCCTCTAATGTAAAATAGACAGACAGATTATTTTTTTTATAATACTCGTTGCTCGATAACGAAGAACAAAACAAAGGAAATGTTCTGTTTCCCAACCAAACTTAATCCAGTGTCATCGATTCAAATCGCGTATCTGAAAATTGTTCCAGGGTCTGATCAGTCACATTTGCCTCTGTGTTTTTTTTTAGGTTTTTTTTTAACATCTCTGCTCTTGCGACACAGACTTGATGTGACAAACTGTGACAAGATAAAACAGAAAACAACAAACATGGAGGACAGCCAAAGAGAATGCCAGTGTCAGGACCAATTAGGGGGCTGAATGAATGTCTTCTGCACTGTGATTAGAAAATGCCAACATCAACCTCCATGTTGCTCGGCTTTTGATAAAGTGCCTAAAGCTTCCACTTTATTACACAACAATGCTCAGTGTGGTAACAAATCTAAAGGTCACTTGTAGATTGATATGAGGGAATTCAGCTGCAGAGATCAGTATTAGCAGCTGATAAACTGATTTAAAGTAAGTTTCAGGTCTACAAAAGTAAAATATAAAGAAATACTGGTAAGTACAATGAGAAATGTTGTCATTATTCCATTCGTTTTTACTAAACGGCAGCTGACATTTGAAGCAAGCACGACGTTTCCCAACATTTGGCGTCTGAGCGCGGGGCTGGCGCAGTCAGCCCACATCACAGAATGGAAACTGGCATAGACTGTAATTAGGAGAAGCTGGGGCTGGAGCTAGACCACCTTGTGGGATTTGTTTATTCCTGGGAACTCAAAGTCTCACACAACCGCTTTCCTTTATTCTGAAAATGAGTTAATAAAGGAAAAGTTTATTTTTGATGGTTATCCAATGTTGCCATTTTTTGCCGTTTCCTCAGGTGAATGGGTTTAGTCATGCCAACCTCACTCTTCAAGACCCAGCTTGCAAAGCAACCGTCAATGCCACCCACTACACTCTGGAGACTCCTCTGACTGGCTGTCTGACCACCGTGTTTCCCTTGCAGGGGAGCCCAATGGCCCTCCACATCAACTCCGTGAGTACAACACCCATTATTACATTTAAGTCTAGAACAAGTCATGCAAATACAGCTGGTTTACCTGAAGCATTTAAAGTTGCCCCCTAGTATATAATGTAAATACAAAAAAAGAGTTTCCAACTGAAACTAAGAATCATTGTGTTTTCGTTAGCTTAGAATGAGCCCTTCATAACTCCATAGGGAGCGGATCCTCTTCACAAAGTCCGCCATGTTGCACTGCCATATTTCTACGGTAGCCCAGAACGGACAAACCAATGTTTTTATGTTAGCTGAAGGCCACCGTAATTCCCCGACACACAGGGGGGGTGAGCGGAAAGGTATTCAGTTGGTTGCAATCTGCAACCTCACCACTAGATGCCACAGAATCCTACACTCTGTCCCTTTAAAGTTTAACTGAAATGAAGATGTGAGTTTTTGTTTTTTTTCTGAGAAACCCTTTTCTGCGTGGAAGCTTATTAGCACAGCTGGCCAGCTTCCGTTTTCTGAGTGGAATACAAACGTCTTGAATCGCTGATGGTTGTTGAGAAGTCCTCCAGTCAGCAGAGCATCACAGAAGTTGACACCATGTTTCCTCGCATCGCCAGCTATCAGATGTCAAGAGCTGATAGGAAACCCCACTCAGAGGCTTGAAGCTTAAACACTTTTTCCACAAACCGTTTTTTCTTTTTTCTTTTTCTGGATGACTAGAAAATGGAAAAGTATGACGAGTTTAAAGTACATTTCCATGTAGTGGTGAACAGTGTGGGATTCAGCATTCACATCTAACCTCCCAAGTTGTCTTCATCATTGTGGAATGCATTCATTCAGCGAGTTTGTTCTAACAAGCAAGGATGAATCGCTTCCTCCCCAACCTTTTGAGATCTTTTGTGGGGGAAATTTGGAACAACACATTTGCTGTCCAATGCAGAGTGAAAACCTGGGCACACGTCCAAGGTCGTCTTTTGTGTTAGCACTTGGATGCAGGGATAACCTCTGACCTCTAGTCAAAAGAGATACAAATGTCATTGTCTGGGGTCCCTACACATCAAAGATAATGTGTTGTGGCTGTTGTTTCTGCTGTCCTGTGACACGTTGATTTAATTAGGCAGTGGCACCAACGGCAGATCAACTAACTAATTTGTTGCAGACTGAAGAAAAACATGGTCAGCGTCACTGAGATTGTCCCCTCACCTCATTAAATCTGAATTTTCTTAAAGCCATGTCAGACCCCTGACATTCTTCCGTAAGCATGTTTTATGTTTTTGTCCAGGATGAGTCCCACTGCTGCAGCCACGGGACATTCCCACATTTTGAATCCAACTCATCGGTTGCGGAATGTCTTTTTGGCAACTCCTCTCAAAGATTTGAATCACTGTGTCTTTGCCTTACGGAACACTACTCACAACTGGATCTGCTTTTAAAAAAGGAAAAATGGGAAAAAAAAATCTGGAAAGGATTCTCGTGAAGCTTTTCCTTTCACTTACTAACTGACGCTGCTCAGGTTTTGTGAGTAACGTGCATCTCTGTGGATTGCAGGTTTTGATAAGTCATGCTGAGCCCAAGGATGGGAGTGGCAGGCTGCTGGATTTTGAGGATCTGGAATCTGGAGACGTGCTGTTCCCGAGAGACCCGGTGGACTCGGAGAGGACGTTTACGGAGCCGGCAGAGCATCAGTCCTTCGTAGCGGTGAGAATCACTGTGGCTCTGTCTCTGTGAGAGCTGCGGCTCATTGCAGGGTGAAAGTTGACAAGTCATCTACATCTCTATGTAAATCATTCAGAGTTGGAGGAAACTCCATTTCCCACTGTCCCCTGGTGCACGTAAAGACTCATCTTGCAATCTCCCCATCTTTCCATGATGTCTGTTTTATGGACTTGACCTGAGAGTTTCCATTTTGAAGTTTCTTATTTATTTATTGGTTTATTTGATAAGGGACAGTGCACATTAATAAAAACATTTCTGTAAATGCGCCAGAGTTAGTCATCTTATTCCCTCTACGAACGTATTTTCCCTTTTGTCTCATCCATTCCTTGCCTCCCACTTGTTGTTCCTGTTGATACAGTTTGTGTTCCTTCCCCATTTTCCGATCCGTCTTAATGTGGTCATACACTGCCCCACACAGGGTGACGGTGCTTATCAGTGGCATCAGATGTCAGATCCCTGCTGATAATTGTGTCGGCGTCGTCTCATTCTCCTCCTAGTTCAACTGCACGTACCGAAGGAACCGGGAAAACTCAGCAACGGTTCCCAGGATTGTACCAGGACCAGGGAGGCAACCGGCGAGCAACATGACGTTTAACATGGAGTTGTACAACAAGCTGCCATTCAACAAGCCCTCGCGCCAGGCCTTCTACACTGTCTCGCAAAAGCAGCAAGTCTTTGTGGAGGTATGCCTTGTATTTTTAATAAATCGTCGTTTTATGTCAGGGTACGTGTTGCAGATTAATGCGGTGTGAGAAAACTGTGCTCTCTGTCTGGGACTTTAACTGCTTTGATCTCTTAGTGTGGCATCCACAAAGTCAATTTGTATTTCGTCTAGTTGTGGCTTAAAAAGCCAATACTCACTTTCACCCCCTTATAGTCTTTGTGTCTCCTCCGCCTCTCCTCTGTCTGTCTGCCTCAAAATCCTCCTTCCACAACACGATTATGGAGGTCGTGTAAGAGATGGCAAAGACTCGTACTCTGAGGTCATTTGACAAGATGATTTATGATGATATCAGCGGGAGGTGCTTCGCTGAGCCAGCTGGTTACAAAGGCTTCTCTGTGTATGTGTATGCGAGACCTTCTCAATGAGGACACCACCACTGATGATCCAAAAGACGGAGGAATAATAACTCAAGGGAAGGTTGTTGATGGAAAGACATTGATGGCATATTAACTGAAATACAATGCAGTCGACATAGCTAATGATTTAGCAAACAGTTGTTACAATCCAACAGGCATTAGCATTCATTTTGAGTCGTTTTGGTGTCCACCTGATGAATAATAGTCCAATGTTCACTCTCTTTTCAGCTCTGGTTTCTGGTTTCCACCAAATATCCGTCTCATTAGCAACTAAATGCTTCACCGTGTTCACCAGCTAGTCTCTATTGGTTTCTGTCAGCTGTTTGGTGCTGTTTGGTGTATAGTGGGATTAATGAGAGTGATTTTAGCATTAAAGATGCGGCCTTAAATCCAAAACAAGGAGCTGAAAGGTGCTTAAAGGTTTGATAGAGCTGATGGAAACTGGGTTTGCAACCATTTCCACATTACATTATGTGATTTGATAAATTTTTTTGTCTAAAAATATTGATCAGAGAGGCTTTAAAGGAACAGTAGGAAGGTTCAGGTAATGAGCTTATCTAGCTTTAGATGAGAAGATCAACACCAGATACGTATCTGAAGAATGAACTTTTTTTTTTTTTTTTTTCTCTGTCATGCGCTCCAGGTCACATCAGCCGCATCCGATCCAGAGCTAGGGTTCCTCCTCATATCGTGCTTTATTTCTCCCGACTCCAACCCCAGCGTGGGCTCAGACTACACTCTCATCGAGACAGTCTGCCCCTCAGACGACTCCGTCAAGTACTATCCTGAGAGGGGCTTCCCTGTCCCTCACACACAGGCGGAGAAGAAGAGCTTCAGCTTCACCTTCAACTCAACGTTCAACAGGTCTCTGCTTTTCCTGCACTGCAAGATGTGTCTGTGCTCCAAGAGTTCTCAGAGCAACCAGAGACTACCAACGGTATGCAGTATAATCTTCTCCAAATGACTTCTTTATTCTTTGGCCTATGCGATGGTTTTACTATACTGTCTCTCCTGAGGCATAAAGGATTCGCAGTGTTTTTGTTTGGGGAGATCTCGGTGTAGTAGTGCTCCATCTTTACTCTGGCTGGCCCGAGCCGTTCAGTATCAGGTCTGCACCCAAAGCTAAGCAGGAAACATGAATCAATGGAATGTTTTGCCAAGTATCCGGCTGCAGAACTAAATAAGCATCTTTCATTTTTATCTCACTGTTATCTGTCCAACTCATGCAATCTCTTGCAAGCATTTACCTCTACTTTTAATGTTTTGTACCTCTTTTCACCTAAAAGAAGTTGTGGCTGACTTGTGACAGCGAATCTAATTTTTATACTCGGATTTCCGATCAGGTTTGGGTTCATCCTCATGAGTTTGTCATTTGTTTGGTTTCCAAGTGTATACTCCTGTCCAGTATGACAGAAGACATTTGTTTTTATAAAACCTTTTTTTCCTGTAAAAATCGCAGCGCGTTCAATCCTTTTATTACAGAGTGACGTGTGTCTTTTTGGGGGGGGTTTCATCACTATAAGTTTTAAGTTTAAGTCAATTCTGTCCACACAGTGCTTACACCCCAGGGAGCCCTGCGATTCTCTTTCTGGGGACAACATCATGGCGATGATGATGAACTACAAGACGTCTACCAAGCCGCTGGTCGTGGTGGATGGACGTGATCGATCAGAGGAAACAGGTTAGTTGAGAGCAAAGAAAAACACGTTTTACACCTACTCAGATGGCACGAGTTCAGCATGCACGTGGGTTTGAAAATCTCTTGTGACTCTCGTTTTTTGATTTTAACAGCGCTACATTCAGCTCTGACTTACATTATTTTGAGTATAAAGAGTATAAAGCAGCCAGAGAAAGCTCGGTCCGATACTTTGCGATTAGACCGAAACCTCAAAACGCTGCACATCACTTCCCCACATCTGGTCACCATTAACTGCAGTGTGTGTGTGATTGTGTATGCGCCCACGTGTCTGTTTACATTAACATCCGTACACAAGAGTGTGTGTGTGTGTGTGTGTGTGTGTGTGTGTGTGTGTGTGTGCGCGCGTGTGTGCGTGTGCGCGTGCATACTAGCATGTGGTGGACTGCAGTAAAGGGGATCGTGCTAACGCTGAGGCCCAGCTCGGCTGCTCTGGACCAGTCCATGCTGAGGGAGAGGTGGAAAAAGAGGAATCATACAGCACCAAGCTCCAGTTGTTTTCACTTAGGACCTTCACTGTGGCCTCCCCTCTCCACTAGAGGAGGGTGTGTGTGAGAGGAGAGTGTGGAGGTCCTCTTGTTGGCTTTGGGAGTCCAGCCAGATCCTAAAGGCCCCTCGATCATCACTTGTTTAGCCGCTCATTGTGTTGCGTAGTCTCTAAGGGCTGTGAGTGTGATCGGAGGGAGGGAGCAGCCTGCAGATGTGGGGGGAGGACTGAGGTAACCATGGTCACATTTGACTAATTATGGCCTAAACTGAGATGGGGTGATATCATGAGTGCCCGATCTCTGGTGGACTACCAGAGCTTTTCGAATCAGCATCCCCTCTGAGCAATGACATCAACATCAGCCGAGTGGTCAGTTTGAGTCAACTGCATTGACTCATGGTTTTAATATACATCACATCGTTTTAATCAGTGTGAGCTGGAGCCTGAGCGACGTATCAGCACGGCCGATACTGGCGGCCTATTTAAGGTTGGTGTGGATATGTTGTATCGGTTCATGCATCAACTGATAAGAATCACAAGAAGTGACAAAGACGCGTAGTTTGTCAATTGCATAGTTGGCCGCCCAGACAGCACTGACGAGCAGGATTAAGATAAAGAAGAATCAATTAATCCGGAATGAAATTATTTTTAGCTGTAGCCATACATACATTACGTACATTATGTTGGCCACAACTCCTTTTCAGGATTTATTATTGTTATTATTTGCATTTTTTTAAAACTCTCAATTATCGATAAATACTGTTAATCGGCCTCAAAAATCTGGTATCAGTCGGCTGCAGAGTGAGTGGTGAGGGAGTTGCACAGAACATTGCTGAACAGAAGTGGGTGGATTTCTTTTACATTTGAACTGGTCATAGGGTTTCAAGGCTGGGCCGGTATATAGATGCAGTCACTTTTCAGCACAGAAGTTCCAGTGTTGATGCTAGAGAAGCTGCTGAAGCTATTGGTGAACAGAGACTCTGAAACCTCCAGTAATGAGTGAGTGAGGTACACTGGTCCAGAACAGGCACTGCCCACCACATTACTATGCCAGCTCTGCGGGGTTTATTTTCCATGGAACAGATAAAGTAAACACAAATATGCAATAAACTCACAACTCTATTTAAAAGGCATCTCTTGTGCTCGGAAGATAAACAAAACAAGCTGCCTTTTCAAGGGCCACACCAGTTTGGATTCAGGCTTCAGCAGACTGTGGCCATTAGAGAAAAATATGACCCAGAAGTTAGCATCGCACTGGTTCTTTCGACAAAAAGTCAATGGGATTTTTCCATTGGAGTTTGGATTATTGCAGGACATAAACTCTGTGGCAAACAAACGATACTTTTGAT